AAGCATTTTAATGAGTTTTCTATAAAAATGTTCCATATTCCTGTCTTTTCATTTGTTTTTATTATGATTTGCATATTTTTTTTTAATATAAATGTGCATGATATGGTGTTTTAAATGGTAACTGAGGTACAACTTTCTAGTCCCCCAAGACTAATATATAGACTTTAATATGGAGTATTCATTTGAAATCATGACAATGATTAGATGACAGTTTATTGATATCCTAACTCTTGCTAAAATATTTGGTGAATCTTTATATTTTAATAACATACGTTGACGTTTCGATGAGAACGTATATCAAGTTTGATTGTTTGTAAGTTTCTCCGTCCCACGGGTTTGAATTGAGAGCGAGAGAGATCCGGAATTCAGTTCTGTCTAATACGAAGGGAGCCAGCATACCCTATCTTGAGAGATAAACAAGTAAAAAGCTAGGTCTGTGTTTCCGCTCTACTCTCAGAAGGTTCAGAGTTAAACTAAAGCTGTGATGTTTAACTAATTGCGCACTTGTGACAGTCGATGTTAGCTGTTTTTCTACCTCAGGACTGTCACGTGCTCGGTGTAAATCTTAAGAAAACTAAATTGTTACGTCAGAGAATATATAAAGTATATGATTAAAATCTTTGGGCTGCGAGTTTCCTGTCTCCTATTCGTCGTTTCAATAAATCATGTCAAGGAAAGAAAAACATCTTTGACACTACTGATCGTTATTTTATTTATATTTTTCTATAATGGTGGTTAAACTATACCCCCCCCCCCCATAATTTCAGTTAAGTTGTGACGAGCGAGAGCAGCTTGACCTAGAATTGGCATGGTTTTCTTTAAAAAAAACCTGTTTCTAAAATTTTAAAGTTTACGCAGATTTATGTGTTCATCAAAGCATCAGAAAAGTATACTTATCTGATAAATAATTCGGAGAGGGTTTTAGTGTTTTTTAACCAGACCGTTACAAAAGATATCGGTGTTTTATGTCTGTGGATAATTTATTAATGGTTGTTTCTTTCTTTGTGTGAATGTCCTATTTAATCAGGTTTTGGAGATTAAAAGCTTTTTATTTAGTGTCGTACATACTACACAGGCTTGAACCACCAAGAGCTCAGATGTTGATGTTGTTATCACCAACTGGATTTGGTGATTGTGGCTTCCATTAACAGAATTGTTCAAACATTGGCCCTTTTTTTTGTAACTGTAAATTACAAAGACGTAAAAAAACCGGCTAGTTTTAAAGCCAAGCATTTGTAGAAAGTCTTTGTACAAAAGAAAAAAAACTTAGATAAAATAATGCTACTTATTTGCTTATCTGTATGAAAACCATGTGCACAATAAATTAGTGGTTTTGACTTTGAATATTTTTAAGTAACGGATGTTTTTTGGTCAATGATTGCGATACACCTAAATAAGAAACGTAATAATGAAATGTGTATGTAGTTTTAACCCAACATGTGTAAGTTGCAGCTAATTTCATTACAGCTGACCCAAAAATCATTTGTAATTGCTCCATATCCTATACGTTCAGGCTTATTGCTTTACAGACGATGGACACATGCTTAACTGTAGATATTATATCCATCTGTTGTCTATCATAAATTAATGCCCAGAAGTGCCTGACTTTCTCAAACTAATTTTTGGTTGCTGCAGATTCAGCCTATCAGAAGCTCTACTATCAGAAATCGGAATTGTTCAAACAAGAAATAATTTTAGGATTATTTCATTGTTTGTAAGAAATTTGACATTTCTCTAGCTAATACATTATGATTATGTAGCCTCAGTTACAATAGAAAATTTAACTTGGTAAATACAGCAATTCGTTTATAGATTAAAATTTATTCGTATATACAGGGCAGCATATTATTTTTACTAGTAATTTTTAATTGTATTATTTTGCGTATATATATATATATATATTGACTTATACCTATGGTTTTCAGGTACAGATAGTTGCAAAACGTAGGTTCAGAAGTGTTAAGCAGAACATAATTTTGGACATGGACAACAAAGAAAAACAAGCAAACACACAAATAAACAGTTTTTATTCACCAAAAGGAATGTTCAGTTTGAGTTTCTTCACTATCTTCTAATTCTTTGTATAACTTCAAACGGCTGCATACGACGAAGACAAATATTATAATAAGAGATGTCAAGAGAGAGAGAGAATCGTAAAGATACCACACTTTTATATCGGATCAAGGCCATAGTATTTTATTCCAGTTTTTGGATTACGTACATCATTAGTTATTCCCATTACACTCACTTAAGGAGAAAAATGCCCCAACTTGTACTAATTTGTACAAGTCTACGTACCACCCCTTCTATGAGTATGCCGTCCCTCTAGAAGGGTATGACACAGAAACATGGCAGGTAAATATAAACCTTTGGAACAAGCATTGTAATATGTAGTCTTTATCTAAAATAAAGGACTAGTGCAAAGTATAAGACCTTCCCACATCCGACTTACAAGGATGTCATAACTATTTACAAGAACACTTGTACGAAAATTTAATTGAATATATCTGAATGAAGATTGTAAAAAAAATAATTATATTTCCAATCATTACTTCTGTAGAAAATAAGAATTTGGTATGTTTCCAAAATGAGCGCTGATTGATAATTAACAAATATATTTGAGGTTGTTATTGTTCATTAAATTGATGGATGTACGTGAATAAATAATGTCAAAGTAAAATGCTTGAAAACTGTAATTAGTTCAATATTCCAGTTCCAAAGGTATAAAATAACTCGAACTAAAAAAAGGAAAGCAAAATATACATACTCCATGGCTATTAAACACGTGATAAGAAAAAAGCGCTATTATTTCAAGTTAAAAAAAATTAGAGTGAAAGCATAAAGCATACACCAACAGAATGGTCCTTTAACTAAAGATTATCACCGAAATAAAAAATTAGGATGAACTACTTAAGTGTAGCATTTTTATAGGTTCGACATGTGTTGCATTTAAAAGAATTTATGGAAAAAAAAGTATAAACACTTAAAGCTAACATAGTTTTGTAGTTTGCAAATCACCCAATTCTGCCCATCAATTTGCATAAGGACTTATGGAAAGGCTTTGCCAAAATTCTGAAAGTAATAATGTAAAGATATACATTTCAGTTTGCAAATTAATATGCTAGGGAATAGGTAAAATAAACGGGAATAAAACAATAGCAATTTCCTATTTTATAAACTCCTATAGCAAACATCCACACATATTTCTCCTCAATATATTTTCTCTTTGACTGTAAAAAGAATGTTGTTTC